TGCTGGAAGGCAGGAGGGATCTGCAGAGGGACCTGGATAGGCTGGAGAGATGGGCTGATTCCAACGGGATGAGGTTTAACAAGGCCAAGTGCTGGTCCTGCACTTTGGTCATAACAATCCCATGCAGTACTCCAGGCTGGAGAGCAGCCAGGCAGAAAGAGACCTGGGAGTTTGGATAGACAGAAAGCTGGACATGAGCCAGTAGTGTGCTCAGGTGGCCAAGAAGGCCAATGGCACCCTGGCCTGGATCAGGAACAGTGTGGTCAGCAGGACCAGGGAGGTGATTCTGCCCCTGTAATCAGCACTGATGAGGCCACACCTTGAATACTGTGTACAGTTCTGGGTCCCTCAGTTCAGGAAGGATGTTGAACTGCTGGATCAGGTCCAGAGAAGAGCAATGAGGCTGGAGAAGGTACTTGAGCACAAGTCCTGTGAGGAAAGGCTAAGGCAGATGGGGTTGTTTAGCCTGGAGAAGAGGAGGCTCAGGGGTGACCTTATCACCCTCTACAACTACCTGAAAGGAGGTTGTAGTCAGGTGGGGGTTGGTCTCTTCTTCCAGGCAACCAGCAGGAGGACAAGAGGGCACAGACTCAAACTCTGCCAGAGGAGGTTTAGGTTGGATATTAGGAAGAGATTTTTTACGGAGAGAGTAATCAGGCATTGGAATGGGCTGCCCGGAGAGGTAGTGGATTCATCATCCCTGGAGGTTTTCAAGATGAGACTGGATGTGGCATTTAGTGCTATGGTCTAGTAATGATGGTAGGATTGGACTCGATTTTTGAGATCTCTTCCAACCTGGTTGATTCTATGATTCTATGATATTGAGATCATAATGTATCTCTTCTGCTGGTCCTAGTGATTTACTGAGCTACAGGTGTTTGTTCACCTGGCCTGTTCCCCAAGTAGTTAAAGGACCTGGAGAAGACTGAAGCTCGTAGGAATTCAGAGGACATAAGGGGAACAGGAGATAGCATGAGGAAGAGGAATATGCAGAGCTGAATGAACAAAAGGCAATATGAAGAAGGACATGAGTACATAGAGATGGAGAGGTATCTGGGGCAGATAGTTCTCTTAGAAAATGTGAAGAAAACATATGAATTAATCAGGATCATTTGCAAGCATAAGACCTTGCCATGTAACATTTCTACCCCCAGGCTGTCAAGGTGAATCTTGGTCTCAATATTTTTTCAGCCTGTGTGAAGGAGCTGCTTTTGCACATATAGGCTGTTAATGTCCCCATGCAGTGAGACAGGAATATGGAGTCAGGATTGCCAACAGGAATCAGTAGAAAAAGTTTGTCTCTTGTATGTTGTGCTGAAGAATTCAGAGAGGAAGGCTAGAGGATAGAAACATGCACTTTATAGTGTATCATAATGATTTACTTATCAGAATTCAGTTTCAGCATAAAGCAGATTCCTACAGAATGCAACATTGCTTCTTTAATTAATAAATCAACCCAGAAATGTAAATTAACCAACTTCTACTTGGTGTATAATATGTCTTGCTCCAAAAAGAAATCAAAACTGCACATTCAAACTTTTTATGTTATTTTCTACATTCATATAAAAATGTTTGTTAGCACATTAAAGTGGAGTTTGGGAAGTGCAAGTCTATCAGAAAAATGATTACTTTATGGCTTCAGCAATTCCAAGGAAAAAGACACAGGAGTTGATATGAAATGACAGAAAGCATGATGATTTCATTCTATCACTCTCTAGGGAGAAAACAAGGATTCATTGTTAAGCTGTTATTTGGGTTGGATTTTTTTTCCAAAATATTAAATGCTCAAATAGTTGATGAGATACTTGAGGAAGAAAACACAATGCAGGGAAGTCTAATGAACAAAGCATGACACCTTATGAATTCATGATTCCCTAACAGTCAAGTGAGAAACAACTATAATATTTGGGAAAATGCTACATCACTGTATAGTCAGACTTGGGTAACAAATGATCAGAAACTCAATTGCCTGAAATTAAATTTAAATTCATAAGAAAGTATAATCTACAGTACACATTGTGACAGAAAAGCAATGTTTCAGAGTAAAGAGGTACCCACAAGTATATTGAGTCCCTTTTAATAAAATCTAGCAGTCTTAAAATGATGTGTAAATAGATGGCATTTTTCTCTCAACTGACGTACTATTTATCCAAGTACTACCTATATTGCCTTTTATTGCGTGGAAACATAGTCAGCTCCTATTAATCTATTGCAATTTAGTAATTCTTAGTTAAATTAATGTTCCCCCCTGTATATCAATAGCTTAAATGTGGCAGCAAGAAGTTAAACCAATTTGAAGATCAGATCAGTAAGCTTAGCCTCACAATATAAAATTGTAGAGTCCTTTATTATTAAAGTAACACGTATTCATCTCAGCTTTCCAGGTGGTGTTATTCCAGCATACTTATTTAATAGTGTGCTAAAAATAGTCAGTGCAACATTAGTATTGTCTGCCTTCTAACAGGCAGTCAGCTCAGCTGAGGTGTGCATGGCCTTGGAAAAAGTACATCTGTACCTTTAATTTTTCATCAGCCCTAATACAAATTCAAGAACAGGCTTTAATTGGTCAGGTCATAAAGGGATATAATTAGAGTCTAGTGGATGAGGGAAGTTGGAAGAAAGAGAGAGAGTAAACAATGCTATCTATAATCAAGGGCATCATTGAAAATTCAGTAAAGGGAATTCTGCTTAGTTTGGCTTCCTGCATTCTGCATGCCTGTCTGTGATAAGAGCTGTCTGGGAGTTATTCAGCCACTAATAAATCTTCCTTATAGACCCGTAACTCTGCTAGAATAAAATCGGAGTTTCATGCACTCTCGGTCTGATCAGTGCAAATCATTTTGTGCTTTCTAATGCAAAAGAGAATTTTTAGTTGAGAGGCAGTGGTCTGAAACCTAAAGATATTTACAAGAGATAGTAAATAACACTGTACAACTCCTCCCTCTTACTGTACTGTTTTTACCCTCTTAAGAAAGTACATTCATGCATTTTCTGAAGTGGGCAGTATTCAGGGGGATGTTTGGGGTTTTTTTACTTTGATATTTGTGCATATCATGAAGAACAAACTGCTTCTTGCATTGTTTTGATGTTTGCAGAAAGGTTTTATATATATTTTTTCCAACAGTCTTTGAATTATGATATGAAAAAAGTTCAAGAAATTAAGGGAAAACAGGGGAAGGACAAAAGTTTGTAGTTAGACTGTTTGAAATGGTGGATCTTTCAAAATTCCAGCAGTGTGATTTTCTTTAAAAACATGCAAAATGCAGAGAGAAGTACAGTGATGCCAGATGTGTTTGGCTTCTGGCAAGCACTGAAAAAATACTAGAAAACCTTTATTTTCAACCACTTTCTGGTAGACTATAT